GGACTAAAGAAATAGTGTGCTCTTCACTCTCCAGCAGAGCAGTCAACGGAAAGTCTCTGGCAGGAGTCCAGGGCCAGGATTCTGAACCTCAGACCTACTGGGGGGCAAGACCAACCTTGGGAAGTGGGGGAGCCTGCCAAGAAGTGGGTAGAGCCACAGACCAAAGGGCATCACAGTTGCCCAGCCGGTATGTACTCTCCAGGAGGGCAGGGATTTTGGTCTGTTTTATTCATTGATGTTTGGGCTGTGCAACCTGGTAGGTCCTATGGTATTCAAAGGATCTGGTGGGGAAAGACACTGCGTGGAGTCCGCAGCAAGTCACAAGGGGACACCCATGACCTAGATCCCTAGGGTCCTGGAGCAAGGGTGTGCACACACAGCAAAGAACTGCAGCTAACCCCTGGGGACAGGAAGTGCCTGGCCATGGACATAAAGTGAGCATGTGGTCAGAAGTGTGAGACCTGCCAAGTTCTAAGGTCAGATGAACCCAAAGAAATCCATCGTCAGATGGAAGTGGTGTATCTAGGGTCACATTGAGCAGGGCCAGAAGGTATAGGTGAGCAGCAGAAACAGGCATGTCAGGCCACCACATTAATCTTCTCTGTTGCATCAAAACCTCTTCCCCAGTTCGCACTTCCTAACGTATGAAGGTGGGTCCGTTATAACCAAGTGACAGAGGAGGAAAATGGCCAAATCTGCTTCATAGATGCGCTGGCTCAGTACATAAGTGAAAGCTGAAAATGGACCGTGGCTGCGCTACAGCTCTATTCAGGGGTGATCTTGAAAGACAGTGACGATGGGACATCCTCCCAATGGACAGAGCCCGGGCAGTGCACCTGGTTATCCACTTGTGTGGAGAGAGTAGTAGTCTGAAGCAATACCATACATGGATTCACTGGATGTGCTAAATGACCTGGTTGGTTGGTCAGGGGACGGGAAGGTGGGGGACAGGGACACCTGAGGAAGAGGCATGTGGATATGGCTAAAGGAATAGGCATGAAGTGTGACACCTGTGTTTTGCTGGTTAATGTCTACCATAGACATCTACCACAGAAGAGGGAGCCAGAATGACTCAGCCGATGGACATCCGCCAGACTCTATCACTGGCCACCCCAACACGGGCACATAAACAGAGAAGCCGTAGTGACAAGGATGGAGGCTATGTATGGGCCCCGCTCTCTAAGGTGAACCTAGCTACTGACAGCAAGAGACCACTACTGAGCCCAGATATACCACCATCCCTCCAAGAGGACCAACAGTAACTGAGAGCCAGCCAGCCAGATGCTACTGGGCCCTTTTCGTTCTAGTAGGGGTAGTATTATGAGCTGAAACGTGTCCCCCTAAAATTCATAGGTTAAAGTCCCTAACCCCCAATGTAACTGTATTTGGAAATAGAACCCTTAAAGAGATAATTACAGTTAAGTGAGTTCATAAGGGTGGGGTCCTAATCCAACAGGACTGGTGCCCTTCTAAGAGACACCAGGGGCATGCTCTGAGAAAAGGCCATGTGAGGACACAGCAAGAAGGTGGTCGTCTGCGAGCTAAGCAGAAACCCCTCTAGAAACTAACCCTGCCAGTACCTTGAGCTTGGACTTCTAGCCTCCAGAACACTAGGGGGGAAAAATTCTGTTGTTGAAGCCACCCAATCTTTGATTTGTTATGGCAAGTTGAATTGACTAATATAGGCAGCAATTAATTTTAACTGGAATTGATACCAAGGTTATAGATCTGTATGCCTTGCCTCTCAACCAGTACTGCTCTCTGTGGGTTGACAGAATGCTTGACCTACTGACCAGGGTTCTAAATAAGATCACATCAGACCACAAGGCCCACATCCAGCAAAGTGGCATAACAGTGGCAAGACCGTGGAATACATGGACCCTCTCATATACCAGGAGCTGCCAGCTCGCCAGACTAATGAGACAGTCAGCTGAAGCTGTGAAATACCAATGTGGAGATGATACTTGCAAGGATGGCACGCCAGGTGCTAACATGAAGCATAAACCCTAAATCAGCAACCATTATATGGGTGCTGTGTCCTCAATAGGACGAACACACCGATCTTGGGAATAAGAGGCAGAAGAAGTGACCCTAATTACCCTCCCTCCCAGTGACCTGCTTGGGAATCTGGGCTTCTTGCTCCTGAAACTCTAGATTCCATGGGTTCACGAGCTTGGCTCACAGGAGAGGGCCACTTCCATCAGGAGACAAAGCAAGAATGCAGTGACATTTTAAGGTACAGTTGTTAACCAGTCACTCTGGGCTCTTGTGCCAAAAACCAGCAGACAAGGAAAGGCGTCATTATCTTGGCAGGAGTAATTAACCCTGGTCATCAGGAAAAGGTATGGCGAGGGGCACAAAAAGGGGGAGGGCGGACACGTGCGGCACCCAGGTGATCCACTAGGGCATCTCTTGGTACTCCCTTGCCCAATTTTCACAGTAAATGGAAAAATGGACAAGTGCAGCAGACACAGCCTGAGGAGGGCCTGGTGACCAGGGACTCAGACTGCATAGGGTTGGGGGTACACATCACTTCCCAAAGTTAACCTTCTAGCCAAGAGTGAGGGGAATCTCGAATGAACAGGAGAGGAGGGAGATGATGATCACTGTGACCTTGATTCCAGCCTCAGTAGAAGGGAATGTAATGGGTCCCACTAACTTTCCAAGGTAAGAACCTTGGAGGAGCTGCTCCGAGAACATGTAAACTAAGAAGCTGCAAGCCGCCAAGGGTGGGTGCTCCGGTCCCGCCCGCTTCCCTCACTTCCCTCAGAACTGAAGTGCTCAACCTTCCCGCTGCGAGGGGTATCAGCACCTGAGCATTCTCAAGGACACGCCCCCTGTGGACGGCGTGCACTGGCAGCGCAAGATCTGCAATCTGCATCCCATGACTGGTTGGTGGAGGTTTCGGCTCCTTGTCTGAATCTGGGACAACTCATCTGGGCTCTGCCCACTTCACAGCTCTCTATGAGATCAGCCTTTTCTGTCACTGTTGTTCCAAGCCCACCTCTGTCCTTCACCAACCTTCCCTCAAAGACGCTGATCCTGACAGTGTTCTTGATGCCAGCTTGAGACATACAACTTCTCTGCCTTGTTCGTGAGCACAAGGCCCGTAGCTATCTAAATGGGGAATCTCCTCTCAGTATTTCTTCCCAAGGTTGCTCAGTAGATTTGGTTCCCCCCAATCGCTCTTCTGACGTAGGTGAAATGGTGCTGTCATCGGTCTATCTATCCCATTATCTACTCCAGAACCTCAGAATCCTACCCTCCTTTTTCTCTCCCTTATAGCTCTGTTCCTTCTACCTGGAAAATAGTTATACTCACCATTACTCAGTTTTTCAGACACTGGTCATCCTAAATTCTCTTACTTTTCATTCTTCCCTCTGTTTCCTTGAAAAATCTACTGCCTCCTCCTGCTAAATGTAAGGCTTTGTCTATAGCCAATGTTCATCTTAAATATAATTCTCTGACATGACTCATCTAGCACCTTGTTTTCATCTCTCAACCCTACACGGTTGACTCCATGATCTACACCTGCAGCTTTGACCTCTCTAAGAGAGATGTCTGTCTTCAATATTTAACTACATCATGGGTACCTTTATTGTATGTTCCAGAACAACCTTCACTTCTTTCTTTCACCTGCAGACTCAGCCTATTGATAAGGAGCCCCCTTCTTCCCACCCCAGATATAAACTCTGGAACCCACATCTCCAATGGGACACCAGGGATGGCACACTTGATTTCACTCTCCAGACCATTATAAGGTCTGCAGCCCTACTTCTCACACCCAGTGCAGGCAGGAGATAGGGAGATGGCAAGAAAGAATGGCACAGGGCCGGCTGGGAGGCTCAGTTGGTTAAGAGCGTGAGCTCTGAGCAACAGGGTTGCTGGTTCGATTCCCACATGGGCCAGTGGCTGCGCCCGAGTTGAGCTGCTGCTGAGCTGCTGACAGGCGGCCTGATGGCTCAGTTGGTTAGAGTGCATGCTCTTAACAACAAGGTTGCTAGTTCAACTCCCACTTGGGATGGTGGGCTGTGCACCCGCCCCGTCCCCCGCAACTAGATTGAAAGCGGCGACTGGGCTTGGAGCTGAGCTTGCGCCCTCCACAACTAAGATTGAAGGACAACAACTTGACTTGGAGCTGATGGGTCCTGGAAAAACACAAGTTCCCCTTCCCCAACACTGTTCCCTTCCCCAATTCCCCAATAAAATCTTAAAAAAAAAAAAAAGCTGGTAAAACTAAGAGGACCCAGATCAGAAAACAGCTCCAGTTATATTAAAAAAGAAAGAAAGAAAGAAAGAATGGCACTCTCTCTCATACCCCAGAGGGTAAAGAAGAGGAAAGAAATGAAGAGCCCACTGTGCTGGATCAGAGAAGTTCAAAATAAGATCAGGTATGAGGTAGCCTGACATATAGTAACCCTTGAAAGACAAGTGTGTTGTCAGCATGTTTAGATACAGTAATTTATTGTAGATAAATGCTCAATATTTCCTGATGATTGATGACAAGGCTAAGCAAACACAGCATTTATTTGATTTACTCATTGGTTGTTCCCTTGAAAATTTTCTTACCTTCATATTCTTTCCATTTCAACCAAAGAAAATCAAGAAGTTTTACATTTGCTCTTCACTCCAAGCACGTGATAATAAGCTTTTTAACAGGAAGACACTGTGGCTTTTACAAGATTATAAAAACAGATAAATATCTCGTCTTGTTAACTAGGTTGGGTTTCTCTAAGAAATAATGCTTATCTAATAGAAGTGGAACAAGAATGTCCAGTTTGACCAGTCTTTCAGTGGTAATTAAATTTTTTTTTTAACCTTAAAAACAAAAAAACTAAGTATAGTCACTAACAGACACCTACATTTTATTTGGAAACACATCAAAATATCCACGTTGCAAAGCACAGAAATAAAATGTAGTCTCTACCACACATGCAGTCACAAGAGGAAAAGTTTCCTTAGGCTACTGAGTATCTTAAATGATCATTATGACTGTTTACCTGCTGCTGTCTTTGTCTCCTTGCTTGTGCAAACTGAGAAAGCATCAACTGCCGATCAAGCAGCTCCATTCTCTGCTGTCGCTGGATGTCCACTGTGGCCCCCATCCCGATTCTGGCTTCGGTGGTGGGCTCTGAAGATGAGAAGATGGGTTCAAGCGTCCAAGAAAAGAACTTTGCCATCCAGTTGGGGATGCAGAGCACCTGATGAATCTGTAACACTTTGCTGTGGTAGCAGACACCGGAAATCTAAAAGGAAAAAGTCCAATTGGATTGTTTAAATGTAATAAAAATTTAAAGAACATAGTAAACATAGATATATCAATAACCACAAAATACTTCAGGTGGTATGTTTCTTTTAGCAGTGTCAGGTCATAATCAAGACTCCTACCAAGTTGCAGAATACTAAACAGTACAAATCAACATAAAAATTAATTTGCTCAGTAAACAAATTTGTTTTTATTAAGTTAGGAGAGATAGCAAAACCCTAATCATTTTAACACTCAAATTACTGGTAAAATATTTTAAAAACAATGTTTTCATTTTTTAAAAAAGCCATAAAAGATCTGATTATCAAAACACTTTCACACTGTATTAACTCTGTGGTTTTCTTATTGGCATATGGCCATGAGAGAGAGATATTGGCGGAAAACAGCTCTGATGTTCCATGAGGTGGCCCACACATATCATAAATTTATCAGAAAATACAGACAATCTAAAATTTACATAGTGTTTGAACAAAATTTTCAAGCATTGGTTTTTCTAGATTTTAAAATCTTCATCAATAGTAATGAACAATTCTGTTTACAAACAAGCCTATTTTTCATCTTTAAGGTAATTTATGTGACAAGAGAAGTCTAAAGACATTCTATAGCAGCGGTTCTCAACCTGTGGGTTGCGACCCCTTGGGGGTCGAACGACCCTTTCACAGGGGTCGCCTAAGACCATCGGAAAACAAAAAGATATTTACATTACGATTCATAATAGTAGCAAAATTACAGTTATAGAGAGTAGCAACGAAAATAATTTCATGGTTGGGGGTCACCACAACATGAGGAACTGTATTAAGGGGTCGTGTCATTAGGAAGGTTGAGAACCGCTGGTCTATAGTTTTCATGGTAAAAATGAGTATGGCTATTCCTTTGTAAAAAAAAAAAAAAGTTTATTTTTTAAAATTTGATTCTTAAGATAAGAAGTTATTCATACCAAATCAGAGCATATTTGACAACTTTCTAATAGGAGAAAAGTACACTTTAATGTTTTATTAATAAAATTAATTAATTAGGCAAGAGTTTATGGCGCATCTGCCATATACCAGGCACATATTCTAGGCACTTAGTATAGGAGAAGCCAAGGTCAACAAGGTCTCACTCTTATGAGGTAATAGATGTCAACATGGAGAATAGACAGTAAACAAGCAAACACATAAAACAACTACAGACAAGCTCTATAAAGAAAATAAAGTGACTTAGAGCAGGGACCTTCATTAGGTCAGGGAAGCTTCAGAGAAAGTGACACTTGAGTGAAGATCTTAAGGGCAATGAGGTGCCAGTGATTGGAAGGATTGGAGGAAGGACATTTCAGACAGAACAAACTGCAAATGCAATGACGGAATGAGCTTGGGAGTATCTATTAGAAATCTTAGTGGAGATAGCAAGTGGGTAGTTGGATATATAAATCTAAAACTCAAGGGAAAAGTAAGCCAAGATGAAGATTTGAGAGTCACTGGCATTCGATGGCATTTAAAGCAATGGGACTAGATGAAATAATGATAATAATAGAAGAGAGAAGAGGACTTACTTAGCATTGATTCCAGAGTACACCAATATTTTGGGGGACACAGTAGGAGAAGCCAGGAGAGAAATCTGAGAAGGGGCTGCCAGTGAACAGAAGGAAAACTGGGAGAGTTTAGTATCAGTGGAATTAAGAGAACAGTGTTTTAAGGTGGGAATACCAGTCATCGATGTTTAATGCAGTCCAGAGTTCAAGAGTGACAGAGAGGAAAATGACTACCGATTTGGCAAAGTGGAGGCCTTTGATGACCTTATGAGAACAGTCGGGGGCACTGATGGGAGCAAAAGACAGACTGGAGTAGGCGAAAGGGTGAATGATAGAAGACTTTTGGTTTCAAACAATTTCCATGCCACTTATTTCAAAAATATTACAAAACAACAAAGAAATTGAAAACAGAAACAAACTCTACATCCGATGAAACCAGAAAGCATCTGTAATCTTGAACCACACCAACAAAACGGAAAACACACTATGTAGTTAGAAATCACTTAGCATATGGGAAGAAGGTCAAATCCAAATGCCAGCAAGAGGACAGGAGCTGGGACAGGCTCAGAGCTCAGAGGCACCAGCTGTGGTGGGAGGCAGCAGGGGAGTGGAGGGTTCTAACTCTGTAAGAGGCAGCACCATTTCCTCCCTGTGCTCAGCACAGCCCCTATCGACTCTCTCTCCTCTACAGCAAGACGATAGCGCTCTGCAGGGCAGGGATCAAAGAGGCTCGGAAGCCAGGAGAGCGGCCCAGAGGGGAGGCCTGGGGCTCTGTACAGACAGATGCCACACAGACTGAGAGGTCCTCAGTGCGCGTCTCCTACAGCTTCCAGAAGACAATGGAGGGACTATGGGGAGCGGGACTAGATTTCAAGAGATAATAGCTGAGAGTTTTCCAGAATTAATAAAGAATATAAATCTTCAGATTGAAAACGTAAGAGTTCCATGAAGGAAAATAAAACGAAATTTATATCTAGATAGAGTCATTGTAGTGAAACAAAAAAATCCTTAAAAGTTACCAAAGATCAAGTTCAGACTGCCTAGAAAGGTAAAACAATTAGCTATCAGCAGATAACAGCAAAAACAACTATAAGATACCTAGGAATAAAACAAAAAATATGTAAGACCTTTATAGACAAAACCAAAAAACTACATAAAGGCACATTAAAAAATAAACAAAAACAACAACCCCAAAACAACCCTAGTAATAAATATAGATACCACATTCACGAATGGGAAGATGCAAAATAGTTAAGACACTAATTTTCACCAAATTAATATATAAATTCAATATAATTAAAAATAAAATCTTCACAGGGTTTTTTGTTTTGTTTTGTTGTTAGAACTTAAATGCCAGTCCTAAAATTCATATGGAATACTTAAGGTTTAAATTTTAAAAACATAATGTTGGGAGAAAGAAGCCAGACACAAAGATTGCATACATTATGATTCCACTGCTGTAAGCGGATCAATCTGAACTAGATATCGAGTGGGAAACCACAAAGCAAAGCATGAAGGTGATGATCGTATGTCCCAGGAGAGCAGTTACAGAAGGGATGGGCTTTGGGAGCTGGCAGTGCTCTGGTCTGCGTGGGGTCATATGGGCGTGTTCACTTTACAGTGATTTGTTCGGCTTCATGACATTTGTAGTTTATGTACATTTGATATGTGTCACATATTACAATAAACATGTTTACAAATACAGAATAAAGGATCCAGAATGGCCAAGGTAATTTTAAAGAAGCATAATAAAGCCTATCAGATTTCAAGATGTGCTACAAAGTTTGAGTAATTAAAATTGTGTAGTTTTTCTGTAGAGCTTACATCAAATAGATGTAAAGAGCAAGAGCATAGAAGCAGGCTTCTCAGTACAAGGGCACCTGGTATACAGCAGAAATGGGTAAATTAGAGGGAAAATGATACACAAGCTATAAGGAGAAAGACAAAACAGGTCCCTTTCATGACACTATACATATAAACTCCTAATGGATTAAGGACAAAATAGAATTTACAAAACTGTACATTTTTCCATACAAAATACAGAAGGACTGGCACTGGGATGGGGACATTTTTTAAAATAAAAAACATAAAGCACAAAATATAAAAGAAAACATAAATTTATTATTTTACAATTTAAAAGTTATGGTATGCCAAAAGTTACCATAAATGAAGTGAAAAGACAAGTCAGAGCCTGGGAGAAGGTACTTAGAATTCTTGTAGTGAACAAAGGTGGTATTCATAACGTATAAAGAAACTCTATAACTTTATAAGCAAAAGACAATCAACCCAATTTGAAAGGGAGATGAAACGGCAATTACAGAAGAGGAAATTCAAATGGCCAACAAATAGATGAAAAGTTGTTTATTCTCATCTGTTTTTAGGGAAATGCAATCTAGAATGAACAATGATAAATATAATAAGTGGCAAAAATTGAAAAGTCTGATATCAAGTTTTGGTGAGGATGAGGGGAACTGAGAGCTTTTAACATGGTTCTGAGGGAAGGTAAAGTGGTACAAGCACCCTGGAGAGCAATTCTACAACAGCCTTCCCTTGGTATCTGAAGGGGGATTGGTTCCACGATCCCCATGAACACCAAACTCGGAGTATGTGCAAGTTCCTTATCTAAAATGGTGTGGTCTCACTTATATGTGAATCTAAAGAACTGAATAAACGAGAAATGTAAACAGAAATAGTCTCAGAGACACAGAGGAAAAACTGAGGGTTGCTAGTTGGGAGGGGGCGGGGATGAAGGAGAAGGGGAAGGGACGAGACAATACAAATTGGTAACTGCAATATGGCCTCAGGGATAGAAAAGACAATCTGGGGAATAAATCAATAATGTCGTAAACATTTTTTAGGGGGCCAGGCGGACTCATGTCTTGTTAGGAAGACCTCTTCATAGACGGTGTAGAGGCCTGACCACCGCACTGTATTTCTGAAGCTGATGTTGAATAATATTGTATGTCAACTATAACTACATGTACATATAGTCACAGGACATGGAGTAGAGTGTGGGAATGGAGTCAATGGAATTGTAATAGATAAGTATGATATCGGGGGTGGGAGGGCAGTGGATGGGGGAGGCGGTTTGTTACTTTGTGAGGGGTGTAAAGGCTAACTATTGCATTGTTCTCTACACCTGAAACTAATAATAAAAACAAATTTTGAACAATAAAAAAAAATAATAAATAAAATGGTGTAGGGTTTGCACATAACCTATATTTATATAGGCCACAGCAGGGTATACTTACACATCATTTCATTCTTGTGGATTCAGTGTAGTGCTCAACATGGCAAATTCAAGTTTTGCCTTTTGGAACATTCTGGGTTTTTTAAAAAAAATATATTTATCTAAGATATGCTTGATCCCCAGTTGATTGAATCACAGATGTGAAACCTGTGGATACAGAAGGCCAACTGTATCCAGCAGAACTGAAGGTATATGCTTTAGGGAATACTCAATTGCAAAT